ATTTATTGGAAGGATAATGAGTGGCTCAGAGAATTGCTGAAAGGGCTGGGGAATGGCTTAAAAAAAAACAACCAAAACCCTCAGTAATGTAACCAGAATCCCAGCTTATAACCAATCCAGAGAATGCCCCACTGACAGGGACCCCAGATCTGGCTGCTGGTACCCTTAAAACTAATTCTCCGCTCCCTGCTTCTTTGTATCAGCAGACTGTAGCAGGCCCCTCAGCTGGGGCAGAGTTAAGTCTGTGAGGCCTTCACAAGAGTCTACAAACATTTGTTATTATTTCTACTTTACAGATGGGACAAATGCTGAATTTCCTGGTTGCTCACCTAACACAAGCCTGTGTTAAAGAAAACATCTCTGGGGCTGAACACTTAGCTGTCCCCTCCTCTTCATGCCCTGGGCATCTCACGATGCTCTTGGGTCAGTGGGTTCAGCGAATCCCTTTGATCTGGAGGGAAGGGTCACACAAGACCCCCGGGAGGGGCCATTTTTCACTATGGCCCCGGGGCAAAAAAGACAAAGGTGAGCATTGTTTGTGCCATTGTTGGCTGCAGCTCCTCTTATCCTCTCATCTGAACAACTATTTGTAGGGAGAGGGAGACAAAGAGAAGCTGAAGCCCTGGCTTTAAAGTCACTAAGATTTTAAATATGAAGTCAGGCAAATGGTCAGATGAAGACTAACTTAAAACCCTTGGACGATGTCCATGGAGCCGAGAGGCCTCTGCCACGGGGACCTGGGGCTCAGAACAAAATGGGAAGAGCACCCAAGGGATTGGGGCAGTGGCTGTGGACCCTAAAATTAGCAGCGGGGCGAAAGTGGCAACAGAAAGTGAAAGAGAAATAGCAGCCCTGTCTACCTAGTCTCGGGCCACCCCACTGTTCTCCCTCCCTCAATGCCTTCCCTTCTTTCCGCTCCTTCCCTTCCCCCTTCTCTCTGCTCCCCCCCTTCCTTCCCTGCCTCCTTCCACTATCCCTCCTTCCACCCCTTCGCTCTTCCCCACCTTGCTCTCCACCGCCTGTGAAGAAGAGCCTGTTCTCAGTCATGTCATGAGTAAGCCACTTGTGCACTTGTGGTTTACCTACCTGTAGAAAATTTGTACCCTAAGATCTCCCCATGCTCTGGGCAAATGATTTTAATTCGACTCCACAAATATTTACTGTGCTCTGGGTAACTGAGTGTACTTTGTGCTGGAGGTGCCAGAGAGATGCAAACGGGCAAAGCCAGTTGTGGTCCCCCCTCCCCTTGATGTTGGCACAGGCCTTGCCTTCCCTGTCCCAAGGATGCTAAAGATCTCTCTGTGTGCCTCCTCTCTCCCACCAGACACAGAACAGTGCAGGCTGCCAGTTTTGCACAAGACAGCGCATTGAAGGCCTGATCTACAGGAGCAGGGTGGAGCCAGCCTGCAGGTATGGGAGGGCTTGGTAAACAGCCCTCGGTTCACTACTGAGGGGGCACAGGCCCGAGTTCTGAATTAGCATCTATCTCATGCTCGCCTGTGAATTTTCCAAGATCGTCAACGTAAATAGAACTTTTTCCTCACTCCCTGTCCCAGGGCCCTGCTGGGCTTCGAATCAGGCAGGTCCCAGTTCTTCTGTGTGTTGTCTGACTTGGGAAGGCAGGGTTACTCTTGAAGGTTGGCAGGCCCTGGGGTCAATGGGAGGCCCAGGTGCAGAAGCTCTGGGTGGGGCCTGGGGGAGGCATTTATAGAAAGTAAGGGGCAAATAAGATCTGAAGAACACTTGAAAGTGCAGCCATCGAGGGTCCCCCCAAATGTTGAGGTGTGCTGTTTTGCTCTGGGTATGATGTGGAGAGCTTTGAGCCCTGCGGGGGGCTACAGAGGTGCACTGCTACCTCCAGCCTGGATCCCTGAGTGGGTCCAGGGAGACTCACTGCTGCAGCTGCATTGCTCTCCATGGCAGCTGCTGTAGACTCATTCTTGGAAAACACCACATGCTCAGACCCTCTGTCGACCCACAGCAGACTCGAGAGGTGGGAGTTGGAGAGGCAAGTGCTGGTTTGTTTGAAGCCATGTGTTTGGGCTTTTTTGTCACCGAAGCTTAACTTGGCCCAATCTGGCAGCACCTTAGGAAAATAAGGAGCTTGGTTTGAGAGGCTGGCCTCCCTTTTCCTCAAAGTTCAAAGTCTAAACCCTTCTCTTTTTTCCTCAGTCTTATCAGTCAGTACTGCCCTTTATCTGGTCATGAGTCATCATGTAGCATGAGTAAAATAGGTGATAGTTTTTGGGATAGGAAAGAAAACAAGGATTCTACTTGTGGCTGGAATGTTTTTAGTGTGAGGAAGGAGGCAAGAAATAGGACCTTTCTCTAGTCCCTAAGGCAAAGAGATCAGCTGAATATCCCAGGCCAATAATTCTGACCATTTCCATAGACTTTAAGGTGATCTAGACCAAGAAAGGATAGGTCTCATCTCTGACCTACCAAGTGCCAGTCACTATACTGAACACTAGAACGAGACAAGAGGGATAAACACTCAGGTTAGTTGGCGCAGAGGTGACTCAAAAGGGTTTGGACCTGGGTGTCTGCACAGAGAGGAAAGGCCACTTCAGGAGACAGATCAGGGAAGACTTCTTGGAAGAGGTGGTAGATTACCTGACAGATTTTTACACCTTCCTGTACGTTTGGTCCTATTGCTGATTGTGGGAATGCAAAAGATGCATGCTGAGCATCCATGGCCCGTCAGGGATTACACATGTGACCTCTTCCTTGGCCCTATAACTTCCTAGTCTGCTTGTGCATGTCCAGTCATTGGTAGTGTGTGGTCTCTGCCTCTCTCTGAAAGGGAGAGGCCAGTTGGGCAAATCCCTTTGCCTCCCAGTTCTGTGAGACAGGACTTAACTGAGAGCCTGACATTCTAGGCAAAGTCTTCTATATGCTCCTCTAGCCATGCTCCCTGCAAGAATGCCTGCTCTGTGTGCGTGCATTTGTGTGTGTGTGTGTGTGTGTGTGTGTGTGTGTGTGTGTGTGTGTGTGTAGCTCCCATTCCCAATATCTTGCAGGGGGGAGTTACTGGAGAATGAGTGTACTGGAGCATGTTCAGCTCTGTTGCCTTTAGCAAGCAACTAATTCACAAGTGAATACAGATTAATACAGTACATACTGGCTACATAAATATTGTGCTGTAATTGATTCTCTTCTGGAATCAATGGCAAGCTGCTGACTTTACTTTCCCTACCTTGTACTGATGGTAGAAAACTTGGGGGGAAGGAAGTAAGGTTGTAGAGGAGGTTTTTGCTTCATGTGTCTGTTTGCAAATTGAGTTTCTGATGTAGTGAGAGAAGGAGGCCCATTGCATTCTGACTCAACAGGGGTTTTGTCAACAGGCACTGAGAGACACATTAACTTATTTTATTAATTGAATGAATAGTAGTCATGATTTGATAATATGACACAAGTTTGTCTTTACATTTTTTCCCCCTGGTAGATATTATCGTTGATATATTAAATTATATATAATCTATAATGAAATAGATATTAAATAATCCTTTCTCTTTTAAGAACACGATGTCAACTCATAAAGAAAGTAACAAGACAGGTCAGTGTCTATTTCTGGGTCTAGAGAAATCACGAAGGGCAGAAGAACCAGATCTTCCCTTCTGGGTAGTAGACGCATCACTACAGTAACCAGTTTTCTCCAGGTCTACGGGCAGGTAGACCGAGCTCTCACACCGTTCATCTGCATTCACTTTACTGATTGCTAAAGAGCCTACATGCATGGCAATGGAAATTTAAAATCCCTTTACACCATACAGGAAAGCAACGCCATCTTTCCGTTTACCTGCCAATGTCAAGGCCGGCTGGGGTTTTCCAGCAACTGGCTGCACTCGCGGGAGAGCAACTGGAGAGGTGGTGGTGGGGAGGGGGCGCCCCTCACATCCATCCCAATGGGACTCGTGTGCACCCTGGCGACTTTGGAGAGAGCATTACCTTTGGGGAAGCCAGAATTTTCAAACCCACTAGCCCCTATTGGTTGGGGGTGGGCCGTGCGTTTCCCTAACCTGGCCCCGAAGTCAGCCGTGTTTAACCCCTTTCCCACCTGCGCCCCAGCCGGGGCTCCCCAGAGACCGAAAAACGAAACCGCCCCACTCAGAGCGCCGGGAGCGGGGGTACCCGCTCTCGGGGGGCTTGGGGCAACTTCCCGGCTCCCCAGCCCGGAGAACTGAAATAGCTGCGCGCCGCCAGACCGCTCGGGCCCGCGGGCCCCATCCCGGCCCCGCCACTTCGCTCTCCAGACGCCGGCAGGAGTGGGTGGCAGCACCGAGGCGACGCGATTCGTATTTTTTTCCTCCGGGTTTTGTCATGGAAACGCTGACACAACCTCCAGACGGCGGCCCAGCCCGGCCGGGACTGAGGGCTTTTGGGACCCTGCGGGAGCGCGGCGCGCGCTCGGGCTCCCCGGGAAACAGCTG